TGATTCCGTCTTCATCGACTTGGATAAAAGGAAATGGCCATTATATGCAATATAGTCATGGTTGCAAGCTAGCTCATGAGATGGTAAAAAGCTTGTGAATTGCCGGTGAGGCAAGTTTCACTGGTTTAAGCCTGTTCCGATGGTAAAATGCATCAAGTCAATGGTTACTACTACTAGTCTAGCGGATATCGAACAAGTTCATATAAACCAGGGCCTGACATAATTCATCGGTCTCTGCAAGAAATACTTTTCGGGACACCACAAGTAATAATTCATTAATGCTTTATTCCAACTTCTGCAAGAAATACTTTTCAGGACACCACAGGTAATAATTCATTAATGCTTTATTCCAACTCTCGAACCAAGAGATATAAAACAAACAGAAACCTCGAGATTGACATGTAAAACCCTTGTCCAAAATCAAACAATCGAGCGCATGGTTTTGGCTTAACCTTTGACAATTATGTCAACATGGCTCAATAGCACAGCGCAGACAAATCACATTTATTTAGCCAAATATCCTCCTCCCTGTGAAACCCGTAGACAGAGCAGGTGAGGATAATTTGAACAGTCTATTTTTGTTTAATCCAGGAGTCCAGTCTTCTGATAGCTTTCCACGGAGTCAATGAGAGTTTCCTCCAATGAACGGAAACTCCAACCGAGCCTCTGCAACTTTTCTGAACTGATCATCACTGCTTCCTGCTCTTCTTCAGTGAAACTGGCAGTGAACAAGCAGATGTATCATCAAATTACCAAGAAACATGATAAAACCATACGTGGAAATCAGTACTCGTAAATGTGGCTCCGTTTGTGGCATCATCTATAAAAAGGGTTCCTAGAGAATCACAATGGAAAAGTAAACTCGAATGATTAGTTGGTTGAGAATATTATCTTACACCAGACTTACCTTTTAGGATAGTTGTAGTTAGGATACATGCTCCTCAATTTCTCCACTAGATCTTTAACTCTGATAGCGTGTGCCGTGCATATGTATCTACCTTCTGCCCGAGGTGTCTCATATGCCAAAAGCAGTGCTTCAGCCACATCACGAACATCTATTATTGGCCGAAGCTTGTTTTCCAACGAGTCGCACCCATCTGCAAGGGCAGTTCATACAGAACACCAGCTAGTAACGAGAAGATGACATATAGTATTTGCATTTTGACCTTGATAGCAAGTTGCTTGCAGTGACAGGGGTATAAGCCATTGTTTGCAAACTATGATATCAATGTTTCATGTTTAAATATTTATATTTTCCAAGAGTGAAAAATAAAAAGTATCAACAAAATTGTGCAAGCTGCTGTCGAAGTTCATCATCCAAACTACAGGATTACAGCCTAGCACGAATCGAATTACAGGTTAAAGCTCCAAGAATAAATTAAATACCAATTTTAGTGTTGGTGTTCGAACTTCCACAGAATTTTATCAGGGCATTATCACACACACACACTCATAAAAAATGCAAACAAAGATGACTATGTCACACACAACACACAGACAGAAATTGCAAACAAGATGTGGTATGAATAGCTAGCTACCTTTCAAAATCTTAATAAGAACCTTTGTACTTGCGTTAACTGTGGACTGCAGAATGGGCCCCAAAATGAGGGAAGGACAAATTGCTACTACATCAAGCCCGCTCCTTTTTGCATATTCCCAAGCCTCACTTTCTGCTACTGTCTTGGAAAGATTATACCAATTCTGGTACAGAAATAGAACTGGATATTTTAGTCTACAAACACTAACAATGATAAAGAGCATTACGAAAAGGCAGATCACCACTAATATTCAACTTGGAACTTCCAAATTTGCACTGAAATTAACTTTTGGAATTGTTCACCTTAGTTGCTCTGCAGTATTCCTTATCAGACCAGCAATTCTCATCCATCACTTGACCCTTGGGCCAGCTTGGGTTTGACAAAACTGCACTTCCAGAGGACACAATGACAACTCTTCTTACCTTTGCCTCAGCACATGCTTTAAGCACATTTAGCGTGCCCTTTACAGCTGGCTCGATCACCTCCGCCTAAAAAAAAAAAAAGAGAAGAAGAAGAAGAAGAAGGGAAAGGCATGTCCTGCAATTAATTACCATCTAGTAGTGGCTAAGCTTTTAGTTATTCAGGTCATTTGATTGCTTGTCCACTCTGATCTATAATAGCCATGAGATGTATGGTCTGTTATTAATTACCATCTAATAGCGTGACTAATTTTAGTTATTCGGGTCATTTGATTGAAAAACATTATGAAGTAGCCGAAACTTGCCTCGGGGTTTGACACGGTAGTGAAGGGGACAGGGCTGGCAACATGGAAGACCCCTCTGCACCCCTGAATAGCAGAAGAAAGAGAGTTGTAGTCCAGTAAATCTGCCTTAAAGAGTTTGAGATTCTCCGTTGCCTGATCAATTTTCATCAAGTGAGCATTCTTGTCATCCGCTGCATAATATGATCAAGAAAATTATATCATAAGAAATAATTTCATTTGAGAAGCACTAGCTGCTCGTGCCCATGTTTCATCTGAGAAGGGATATGCAGTCAACGATGGCAGCTAGAAGCACTTCAAATTCAGATTTTGTCGATCAAAAACTAGCAAAACGAGAACAATACATGAAAAGCTGGGGCTATTCGGATTAGAAGAGTGCTAATTAGCTCCATAAAGTAGGCAAATCTAAAGGAAGGAACAACACAGAAACATGTAGTTAAGAACCGAAGTAAGTTGGTCAACATGAAAATATCTCTCAAGAACAGGTTACCTTCTTCAAAGCTGAAACTGTAAATCAGAAATTAGTTAAAAAAAGTGATACATGAAGTGATTCATACAACAAAAAATTAAAAAGAGCAGTGGAATGAGAGAGAGCGGTGAGAGGTATGAGAATTACCAGGATCTCTAACGGTTCCATGGACAAGATAGTCCTTAGAGAGAAGAAGCTTGACGACCCAAGAAGCCAAGTACCCTCCAGCTCCTGTCACGCAAACACTCCCCTTCTCCAACGCCATCTCCGAGCCCCAGATTCCAACTTGTTATTGCATCTTTATTCTGGACATAGGAGTGGGTTTTTTTCAACTTTTTGTGCATTGACTATGTCCCATGGCCCACAACTAGAAGTGGTGATAGTAATTAATTGTATCTGGGTAGACGGTAGACAAAAAACTGTATGGTATAACTCCAAATAAGGGCTACCGTCGGAGAAGAGCATCCAATCCATATCCCATCCTCGTTTCGTTAGTAAAATAGTTCCCATCTCTCTCTTACACACCCAAAGAATTCTCCCCAAAAAAAAACAACCTCAGACCCCCCCAAAATTTCCCTCCCTAGTACCTGCTTCTTCAAGAAATCAACTGTCAGATTGAGATCAGCAAGTCAAAGATAAAGATTTGAGAAATCTGGTCAGTCTCGGCTTCTTCTTCTTCGCATTTTAGCTTTTAATACAAATCCAGTCCCAGCAAGCAACCACTGTGTTTATCTATTTATTTATGATAATCAACATGGATCACTTGAATGTGATTCCCTTTGATAATATCAATATGGGTAGTGAAGATGACCCTAATTCTGCCCTTCACCTACAACACCGTCAACCTCATAATCTTGATTTTGATTTTGATTATCCCAATAATAACAATGATGATAATTTACTAGAACCCACTTCGTTATCTGACCCAAATCTTGATCCCTATGAGGGTATGGAGTTTGATTCTGAGCAGTCTGCTCGCATTTTCTATAATTCATATGCTCGTCGTGTTGGTTTTAGTACTAGAGTCAGTGTCTATCAGCGTTCTCGTCGAGATGGCTCTATTATTTGCCGTCAAATTGTGTGTTCCCGTGAAGGGTTTCGCCGTGAGGGCAGTGAGAATAGGTCTAAAAGGCAGCGAACTGTTACTAGGGTTGGTTGCAAAGCTCAAATGACTGTTAAGAAACAGAGTTCTGGAAAATGGACAGTCACAAAACTTGTCGAGGACCATAATCATGAGCTTGTGCCGCCTGATAAGGTGCATTCTCTCCGCTCTCATAGGCATGTGTCTGGT